CGGCTCTGGTTTGTCGTTTCCCTGCTCCAGCCCCTGTTCTCTACCCGCTCCCGGGGTGCCGTTCCTGGGCAGTTAGCAGGCGGTGGTCAGGTCGCTTCTTCCTTTGTCAAACCAAACCCCTTTGTCTCCGTGCTCCCCGTCTGCAATCCGGGCTCCAGCCGCTAGTCGATACCCCCCGTTTCTGGCGGTGTTTGCCCTTCGGTTATTCCGAGCGAAGCGGTTCTGAGGGGGAAGATTTGTTGCGCGCATCTATCTCCTCTTGGCATTTTTTAATCCAGAAGAGGGAGCCAGGCCGCTGCCTTGGCTGACACCGCGGCCACCTCAAGCTCCGGGTTTGTGCTGAAATCCTGACCACATGCCTGTTGGAGCTGGAGCAACCTTTCGTGGCTTACCTACTTTCTTTCTATGAAAATACTCGTCTGTGTTGCTGAGAGGAGCATTCAACTTACCTTGAACAGTTCCAGGGATGAACACAAGATCCACAACTTTATATCGTGTGTTAATCCACTGAACAAAATAGGTTAAAGCTGTCACTGAGCTGTGGTTTTGTGGCACTGAGTGTTTTGGCAATATCTAGTCCAGGTTGTTCAGCTTGGCTCGTCCACTTTTTGCCCTGGTGTACATCAGCTCTGTGATCCCAGTTACAGTGGCAGATCTGCTTGGGGAGCCCTGTGTGAAGTGGAAGCAGCCCCACACCAGGGGGTTCCCCGTGGCCAAATCCTGTGGTGGGGCTGCCACAAGCATCTTCTGCACCAGGACACTTGCTGGGTCTCAGACAGAGCAGGCTTAGAAGTTGTTCTGTAACTATTTCCTTGTGTACTCTTGCTGTGTTAGGAGATCCTTCACCTCCTAAAGCTGGACAGGTTTTCCAGTGTGTTTTCTTTCCTTGTGATCTCACTGATGTTTGAGCTGCTTTTGTGTTTCTCTAAGGATGTTTGGGGTTTTATTTGGCTTTCATAGTGTTCACCTCCCCAGGGCAACAAAGCAGGACTTTGAGCCACACAGAATTCTGTCAGAAAGGTTCCTGCAGAACTGTAAGAGAATAGAATAGATGGTTTTAGCTGGAAAGGACCCAAGACAATCATCTGCTCCAAGTGCTTCACAAATTGAGGGTTAAGAATTCTGTCAGAAAGGTTCCTGCAGAGCTATAAGAGAATAGAATAGATGGTTTCAGCTGGAAAGGACCTAAGACAATCATCTGCTCCAAGTGCTTGACAAATTGAGGGTTGACTAAAAGTTCAAGCTTGTTATTAAGGGCATTGTCCAAATGCATCTTAAACACTGGCAGGCTCAGGGTGTCAACACAACTCTAGGAAGCCTGTTCCAGTGTTTGACCACCCTCTTGGTAAAGAAATCCTTCCTAATGTCCAGTCTAAACCTCCTCTGGCACAGCTTTGAGCCATTCTCACAGGTCTTATCACTGGATACCAGGGAGAAGAGAAGAGATCAGCACCTCCCTCTCCACTTCCCATCTTCAGGAAGCTGTAGAGGGCAATGAGCTCACCCCTCAAGCTCCTTTTCTGCAAATCAGGCAAACTCTGAGTACTCAGCTGCTCCTCACAGGACATTCCTTTCAGTCCTTTCACAGCTTTCATGCCCTCCTCTGGACACAGCCAAGGACCTTCACATCCTTCTGAAACTGTGTGGCCCAGAACTGTACAGGAGAACATAGAATCACAGAGTGTTTTGGGTGGGAAGGGACCTTTTAAAGATAATTTAGTTCCAATCACTGACATAAAAGCTCTGTTAATAGTTGTAACTTTTAGAATGCAAATTCTTGTTGTTTTTTTTAATGAAGAAACAGTGAAGGGGTAGTAGCTGTAGCTTGTCTAATCCCATTGCTGTGGTGTTTCACATTGCAGAAACAAATTAACCTGGCAAAAGCAAAACAAAAAGCAGGTTTTAATTTGGTTTCTGAATTGCCTTGACAATTTTCAGGCAGGTAGTCACCAGAGGCAGCTCGATGGAGAGGGCAAGTCAGAGCAACAGGAGCCCTTCTGGCAGCTCTGGAACATTCACTTCAGTCTGAGTTGAGATGTGTCCTTGACTCTGCTTCTCTCCACCCCCAAAACTTTCTCCTCAGACTTTCTCACCCCACTGTCCTGCTCTGAGTCATTCTGAGTTCTGGTTACCTCCTCCCTTTCCTGTTGCTCTGCCGTTGCTTCATCCATTTCTCTTCCTCACCTCATTAGTTTTAGCTTCCTAACACTCTGACCCC